AACATGTGTAAACATTACAGATGCTTAACTTGGACCATGAGGACCTCTATACTGATATATCTTATTATATTTGGGCTTCTACCAGTAATTTTTCATTATTCTTATACTCTTCAAAAAAAGATACTTTTTTTAAATTTTGGTAAGTAATTAACTAATAAAACGTAAATAATGTAAAAATTAGTAATTTTAATAACTGTTGTAAGTTTTATGAATTAAATTTTGAGTAAATATGTGTATAATATTGTGCGTGCGTGCGTGTGTAAAATTTATATTCTTTAATTTTAAAATATGAAATTATAATTGGAATATTAAAATAATATATCATTTCACTCTTTTAGTACATTGGCCACTTAAAGTAGAGTTTTCCAATCCAAAATTGGTTGGGTTGGAAGGCGCTAGAAATTTTTATTTACATACCGATCAGCAAGTAAAGATAGGTGCATGGTGAGTGTACATAATCTTATGAAATTTATAACTTTAAGTGCTTATTATATTTTAATATAAAATAGTACATATTGAATTATAGTAAACGATAGTTCTTTTGCAGGCAGATATTACCACGGTCTTTATTAAAGAATTCCATTCCTGCGACAGATGAAGCTTATGAATCAGTTTTAAGTAATGCTAAGTTACCTGTATTTCTGTACATGCACGGAAACAGTGGTAATAGAGCAAGTTCACACAGGCTCGAGCTTTATAAGCTTTTCCAAGATCTGGATTATCATGTTATATGTTTTGATTACAGAAGTAAGTATAAAAAATTTACAGTTACTTTTAGAATAATTGATAAAAATACTGTGTACTGTTTATGTTTTACATTTAAAAATAAAATTTTACTCAAGTTCTTTCATTGATTTAGACTATGGCGATAGCGATATAGTAGAGCTCTCCGAAGAAGGTGTAATTATGGATAGTAAATATGTTCTTGAGTGGGTGATGAAAAAAGTTAATGGTTCAGTTCCAGTTTTTGTTTGGGGTCACTCTCTAGGAACTGGGTAATTTTTAAATAATCTTTTACAATACAAATTGAAATAGTTTATTTTCTAATTATAACTTTTTATTTGATATTAGAGTTTCGACGCATGTATTAGCTCTGCTAGCAGCCGAAAATATACAACCAACAGGATTATTTCTGGAAGCACCATTCAATAATATACAAGATGAATTAACAGAGCATCCATTTGCACAAGTATATCTCAATTATTATCTATTTAAATTGTACTATTTCCAATAAATGTAAATTAATTTTTATGCGTTTTATGCAGATATTTAAACACTTACCATGGTTCCATTGGATGGCTGTTGAACCGTTTTATAAGAATAATTTGCGATTTGAGTCTGATAAACATATTATTAAGATTGATTGTCCTATTATGATACTACATGCTGAAGATGATGGTGTAATTCCAGTTTTCTTAGCAGAAAAGGTATAATTATAATATATTATTTACAGACTTTTGCTGTACAATTATATATATCAGATTTATCCAAAATTTAACTCGTGAGTTAAACACTTCTTTTTCTTCATCGTCTTAAATGAGATAGACAGAAAACAAAAGGAATAAGATGCCATAATTTTGCCCAGTTATAAGTTATTCTAGCTATTCTAGCCTCTATCTCTTTTTGTTTTTCTATTTGGTTCAATGAGATGGCGGAGAAATGAGAATGTTTAGCTTGCTAAAGGACAAGTTTGAAATAATTGTCAAAAAATTAATATCACAAATTAATAGAAATTAATACAAATGATTTCATGTTTCAGCTTTATCAAGCAGCATTAGATAGTTTTGGAAATAATACAAATCGTATCCAGATGATAAAAATAGATTCATCCTATGGACTTGGACATAAATATATCTGTAGATACAAAAAATTACCTGATATAATTAAGTAAGTTATTAATATATTTCTAAAATAAATGCAATTCATTTTTCTTTATTACGAAAATTAACATTGGGATCTGTAAAACTGTCTTTATTATGCTTAATATTTATATTAAGTTATAGTGTTTATTATACTTCCAGGACATTTGTCGTCAAAGCATTCGGAAATCTGACTGAATAATTATATTTAGATTAGAAAATTTAAACTGTAAATTATTTCGTAAATTATGATATAATGTTAATTATATGTCATAAAACATTTGTAGTTTTTATTTACAATTTTATTTACACATAAAAAGTAATACGTTTATAGGATTAGAAATTCTAGTAAAAGATAAAGCATTTAAAGAATACACATTTTTAATATTCTTATTTTTTCTTTTGGTTTTTAAAAAATTCCTTGCAATAAAAATTTTGTGTTCTTCAAATATTATTTCTTAAAAATTTAATATTTTTAATGTCCTAATGGTATGTACAATATGAGAGAAACTATGACATCAAATTGTGCATTCCATTTTTTGTGTATAAAGTTTATTTAAATTTATATAATGTAAAATTTATTTAAACAGTATGTAAACTTTTAAATGTGATATTGTAGGAAATAATACATTTGTCTCATATATTCACAGTTTCTTATCTCATAATGAAATTACATAAAAATATTGTGAAAAAATTGTCTGTTAAATAAATGGAAATACATTGATAGTATTATAAGTGAATAATATGTAATTGTAATATTACAATATTAAGAAGATTATTTGTATTAATTCAACATAAGGGGATGATCGATGTCGAGAGTACAAATTATTTAAATTCCAAATAAAGAAAGAAATAATAGTGACATCTTCGAGGATGTAAACGTACGTCTTTGCAAAAAAAATTTGGAAATATGCTTAATATTTACACTTCAAATAAACTATATTATACATATAAAAGTTGTATAAATAAGATTATATTTTGGTTTAATAACATATTTTTGTAGTTTATTTTATTTGTTACTATTTTTATTGTTAAAAATTAAAATTTAAAAAATGATAAAATTTTATATTTTTCTTTTGTATTTTAAATATTCAAAATAATTTATGTAAAGTTTCATTCACTGATTAATTACAAAGATAAAAAACGAACAAATATTTTGTTTATTTACTGGACTAATTTATGTATCGCAAAGTAACTCTATGTAAATAATCTTGAATATATGATGAACTTATATATATTAAAAAATTTAGATTTTTATTTTATAATATATTTATAATATATTTCCATATTTTTTTAATAGAGCAGATTAAAAAATATAATAACTAAAATATTATTTATTAAAATAACTTGTGGCCGATGTTCATAGTCGGATTTTATATTTAAGATCATTTTAAGTACAATTTTAAGATGCCATGAACTAATCAGAGTCGCATCACCATTTTAAGATATTGCTTAAGATTGTCTCAAAGACTATGAGGACCAATTTTACCAACGCTACTTATCCGTCGATTAACTTTGAGTATTGCCAGCTAAACTGAAAATTCATCGTCTCTAATCGTTTTGAAAGTATGTAAAAAATAATCAAATATATTTACATTTCAATGTTTTGTTTATTATCTCCACATAACACTTTTTCTTTACTATTACTAACAAGAATAAGAGAAAGACAAATTTTTAAGTTTTGTTATTGGTTATTCTGATGATGAAGTTGATCGACGGATAAGCTTAATAGCTTCTACACATTGACGCGGAAACGCTTGCTGCGCAGCAAAATGTGATAGCCAATAAGCTTACAATTGTCCTAATAAAATTGTTTATTGATTACCGCGTCTCATTTTGCCACGCGGCAAGCGTTTCCGCGTCAATGTGTAGAAGCTATTAAGCTTATCCGTCGATCAACTTCATCATCAGAATAACCAATAACAAAACTTAAAAATTTGTCTTTCTCTTATTCTTGTTAGTAATAGTAAAGAAAAAGTGTTATGTGGAGATGCCAATGTGTAGAAGCCATAATGGCGTGACCAATCACATCAATTCCGCTAATTCTGCATTTCTGTAAATCCGCTCCATCTGAGTGCACTCTAAGGGGTAAACATTATCCCAACATTATCAAACAAATTGTAATTCGTGATCCAATTCCATTGCACACTTGTTTGCAAGTGATATTAAGATATCTGGCTTCGGTGATAGTATGAAATCGTTATCTTGCTTTTTGCATTTTGACATAGCACCGTATCAAATCATAACTGAAATATGCCATGCGATATGAAATTCGCTGAAGGATTTAGTTTTATCAGTGACGATGAAGGGAGTTGGCAAGGTGTAGCTGAATTTGAATCTCTGTGGAACTTTCTTCATTGCATAAGCCCCATAGGTGATGGAAAGTATATTGCAATTCAAGTATGTTAAAAAGCAGCCATTGCTTTACACAATTTTATTCTTCAAAACGAAGAGAAATTGACAAGAAGGAAAACATATCCATCAATCTTTCCAATATCCACATGAGACCAGCGATGGATTTCGTGACACACAGTTCACTGTGGGCGAAGTAGTAATACATGCACTATACTTCGTGACAATTTTTCTGTCTATTTTCAAGGTTTTGAAGCTATTTTTCTTCCTTTCCATTCCAATAACAAAAAACAATTGAAAATAATTTTTAAAAATTTGTTTTGTTAAAAAAAAATCTACGAGTTATGCAAATAATGTATACGATGACAGGTTTCTTTTACTGCAAGAAAATGTATGAAAGTTTTAATAAATAATAATGTTTACACTCAAATTTATTACAAAATAATTATTAATATAATATTATCAATATAATAAATTTATTTAGAATAATTATTAATACGTAATAAAATTTATTTATTAGTTTCATTATTGGCATTAGTTGCTTCCATAACATTGATAGAAATTTTATTTTTAGCTCAGTTTTCTACCGATAGGGAAGTTTTCGCAATCCTTCTCCCAATGTTGATAAGAAACCGTCTGTTGCATCGGGTTATTTGACCGGAAATTTCAATGCATCGAGGATGCACTCATTGATATTTTTGGTTTTTATTATACTTCATATCTAAAATTTAACAATTGGTTATTATCGTAACATTAAAAAATATTTATCATAAAATGAAGATACTCAA